TCAAGACTCAGAAATTTCCAAGGAAAACTTCATATGTGATTTTTGGAATGCCAACAGTAGGGAGAGTTCTTATACAACATACTGATAATGACCAGAAACTTACGTAACATAGACGATGATAGTATGATACATACCCGTTCTATCTTTTCTGCTAAACAATATTCTTGTTCAAAATCCTTCAGATGTTCCTCCTTGATACAGTTAAGGAGTTCTGTGACATATACATCCTTCCAAGGCTGTTCCTCTGTGAAAAAGCCTTTGGGCAGCGAAGAATCTTTTAGTTTGTCGTATATTTCCTGGATGTTGATGGAAAAGGATTAATAACAATGGTCACCGGTTCTCGAGTTGATGCACACGAACATAAGAATACACACACAAAAAAAGTTATGATCAAAGCAAAAATCTTATTTGTAGACACACATGATCAGGAACACACCTGAATATCCCTTCCGATTGCAGTCGCTTTGTTGTCTTCATCAGAGACTGTAGATTCCTTCTGTGCTCCCTGAATGCATATGCTTAGTTACAAAATTATGAAGCAACAAAATACACAAATAATGCCTTTTTATAAATGCAATGTAATCACTGACCCTAAGATCCTTCACGTGCCGGGATATTGCTGTCAAGGACTCTTCTCTCAGTCTTTGGTAGAATTCAATCAAAATGCAATCACTTGTTGATCTACTGGAATGGTTGACATCTGTTTCAAATGAAGAGTGCTGATCACTGATCATTAGTGTACATCAAAAGAATATGAAATAAAGTTGTGTCAGTGGAAAACTTAGATACAATGAATGCTCACCATTTCATTATTAGAAAACAGATCAGATGAAATGTGGACACTTTCTACAGAGCTTTGAGCAATTTGAATAGCATCAGTCCGCTCGCTTTCTTTGTACAGATTGAGTATGGCTGAATTATTAGCTGGTGAATGAGTGGAGGCCTTCACAAGTTCTCCAGTGGACTCGTGCGTCCCAAGAACATCGGTTGTTTGATGAACGTGGTTCAATTTGTCATCAACACTGGTAAACGATGACCAGTCTTCCTGGTCAGTGCTCAATGATTTTGTTATATCCTGAAAGATATGAAAACATCGCTCAGATATTCACCTTTCCCATGTGTACAAATAGGCAAAACAAAGACCTGCAAAATAGTTCTACTTCAACAATGTAATCTAATTTCCCTGTAGCCTATGGTGCACTTTTTGAGGGAGCCCTCAGTTTCGCCCCATTTGAGCGCATCTGGAAATCTTGGGCGCCCCCTAAGTGTCGTTTCTTCATGTGGCTGGTTGCTCACAATCGCTGCTGGACAGCTGACAGGTTGGCTCGAAGAGGTCTTCCTCATCCGGACCATTGTCTGCTATGTGATCAAGAAGAAGAGAACATCCAGCACCTTCTCATTGGGTGTGTGTTTGCAAGACAATTCTGGTATGACATCCTACATAGCATCGGACTGGCAGCACTAGCCCCGCAGTCAGATGTATCCTCCTTTGATGATTGGTGGGACAAGGCAGTCTTGACAGTAAGCAAAGATGCACGAAAGGGACTGAATTCCCTCATTATCCTAGGAGCCTGGACCATCTGGAAACATCGAAACGATTGTGTCTTCAACGGAGCTACCCCTAGATTATCTACAGCTTTGAACCTTGCTAGGGAGGAAGCCCTCCTTTGGTCTTTGGCTGGTGCTAGGGGACTGTCCCCGATACACAGCTCTTGATGTTTAGAGGGTCTCTGGTCATGGTTTTCTTCTCAAGCATAGGTGATTAGTTCCAGTCAGTAAGTGGAGGTGTGTTGGTGTTGTGTTTGTGGGTGTGGGTGTGTTTGGGTCTCTGTATGACTCCTTTCTCTTCTATTAATACAATGATACGCAGCTCTCCTGCGTATTCGAAAAAAAAAATGTTGCAATAGCAACAAGTCTAGCTCAGGGATTTTGTAAAGCAGGACAGCTTTGGCTGTCTAGCTTAAAGTTTGCAAGGAATCAACAATCCTTCCATCTCCCAGCAACCAGATTGCACATCTCAGCCCAGTAGCCCACCCTTCATTTTACACCATCCATATTCAAGTTTGCATTCCGTAAGTGTCACATTTTATCACTATCAATCCATCACGCCGGCCAGTGGCCACCCCCAAATAGTCCTGGGAGTTTGAAACAATCATTTCATACTGGATTTGGATAGAGTCGATGTCACTCCTCCCAAGCCCAAACATCTCAATCTCACGACAATTTGGCAACGGCACTAAAATCAAAGACGAAGAGGATCAGGAAATGCGTCGCGGGCAGGCTCACCTCAATCTTACCAATTCCATCCGCATTCCCAGGTCCGTCTCCATCCTGATCGACAGGTTCCGCCGTCGCCGCCGTGAATTCCCAATCATCGTCTCCGAACCCTTCGTCATCCTCCGCCTCCACTTGCGGGACCGGGACCGCGTCGGCAGCGGGGGGCGGCTGAGATCCGTAGAGGCCAACGATGAGGTCCTTCAGATCCGCGGGCCCCGACCCGTTGGAGGGGAAGGACAGGGCGCGCTGGGGCGCCGTGGCCGTGGGCGGGGGCCCGGCGGGCCCTTCCTCCTCCTCCTGGCCGCCGTCGTCGTCGGCGGCGCCGAACAGGGAGAGGGGCAGCGGGCCCCGCGGTTTCGCCCACGACGACGAGGACGAGGGAGCTGCGGCGGGCGCGGCCGTCGGCGGCGCCGAGGCGGCCGCGTCGGATCCGAGCCCGCTCGCCACGAAGTCGCCCCAGTCGTCGTCGAAGGCCGCGAAGGCGGCGGCGGGCGGCTGCGGCTGCGGCGCGACGGACGCGGAGGCGAAGGTGAAGTCGCCGAAGTCAAGGTCCTCGTCGAGGAACGGCGCGGGCGGCGGCGGGAACGCGACGGCGTCCATTGCGCAGCGCAGGGGAGCCGCGGTGGAATGTTGTAAGCCTTATTCGATCCTGGCGCAAAATGCGAATTTTTTAGTTCTCCCCCTGTAGCAACCGTATAATTTCAGAAATGCTATAGCCTCGTGCCCTCGTGTGCTGTATAGTCAGTTAAAGTAACATCACCGTACCAGCCAGCCGAGCATGGTTTGAAATTAATCATGGCATTCGCTACCTACTTGTACTCAGCGGCAGGTGATCCGGACGAGCGTGGAGTTCATGCCCATCTCGCTCTCCTTCCTCCTGGTGCTCAGCGCCGTGATCTGGTTCGCGTATGGCGCGCTGAAGAAGGACGTGTTCGTGGCGGCTCCCAACGTGCAGGGCTTCGTCTTCGGCGTCGCGCAGATGGCGTTGTACACACATGACGGATCCGGCTTCAGGTATCTCTTGCTCTTGTGATTTATGGATCTGTGATCTTGTGATTTGTGGTTGTCTGGAGGTAGAAGAAGGCTAGAGGTAGAAAAAGAATGAAGGCTTTTAGAGGTAAAGAGAAAAGAATTGCGGTCTTGGTACATTGGATCTTAATTCTATGCAGCAAAAAAAGGCGAAAATGCCTATAAGTTGTTATTAAAAAAAATCAAAAACTACTATGAAAGTTGTAGATCTCAAATAAAGAGATCTATAATTTTCATATAAAGTATTTTCATTTATCGCCATAAAACATATGATTTGATATGATTAATATTGGGTAGAGCCTTAAATCGACGGAAGTGGCATGGAGACTCTATAATTTAGTGTGGAAAAGATTAGAATCTTTATAATGGCACTCTTGAAAACTTAGTGTCCATATAAAACTAAAAAAAGTATTTGTTGGGTAGACAGACTCTATAATTTAGTGTCCTCTTGAAAACTTAGTGTGCAATACAAAACAAGTATTTCCGAAAGACATTAGATTAGACATTTCTGCTACATTAAAATTTAAAGGACAACAGTTACGGGACTCATGAGCCCATAGTTTCTGGGCAAAAACGAGCCAATAGTTTCTGGGCAAACATTTGTCACAAGTTTCCAGCGTTGCCTACAAAGTTTCTAGTAGTAAATTTTATTAATTGTGCTTACGTTTGAACAATGTGGTCATATAACGGACAGCCGAAGTATGGTTTGCATTTTTTCCTTGACTGAATGTGAACCATACAAAGTTTTTGTGAATAAGGACAATTTCAACATAGAAAATATGACACAGGGTTTCTATGCTTGTCAAGTCATGATTTTAAGTTTAATTAGGTTTGTACAAAATATTGACAACATTTGTTTCTCCAAATAAATTTATTATGAAAATAAATTCAACAATTTATCTAATAATACTAATTATACACTATAAATATTAATATATATATATTTATATATATTTGATCAAAGTTGAAAGCGTTTTCTCACCATGGGAAAAAGTTGGGTTTGACTACTCGAGAAATGAGAACGACATTTATTTTGAGACGGAGGGAATAGACACTGTATATAAAAATATATTTATAGTGAATGATTTCTTTAAAATAATATGTTGTGTAATCATATGTCTTTTGCTTTTTATTATCTACATATTGTACCTCTTTATATTTTGGTTCTCGTGACAATATATTTTTTATAAAAAAAATCATTTGGCCATCTCTTCCTTAATTCCAACATTATCATTCTTTTTTTTTTTGGGGGGGTATTGAGGGGAAAAACAATTAAATGCTAATGTACTGTCCTAAGAAACTGGGTAGAAACTAGAAAAACATACATGGCCACTACGCTCCGGGATAACTTTGGCTGAATATCTTTTGAATTTGAATTTCACCAGGCAAGCCAGAAGGAATCACAGCCAGGCCACATATCTCGAGGGAAAGAAAAAAGAAAATGCAGCCAACCCCAGCGTCCACGGCACCCGACCCCCGTTGCCCCGCCGGCGCGGCGGCGCCAACCAACTCACGAACACGCCGCCGCCATTTCCGTTCCGTCCCTCACCAGCTCCACGGCGCAGCGCACGCTGCTCTTCCCCGTCCCCACCGGTCGAGTCCCCTCGCCGATCCGGAGCCGTATGCAGCGCGGGCGCGGCCCGTCCAACTCGTCGCCGGGCCAGTAGCTGCACCCGCACCCGCACCCCGTGAGCATGTCCCGCGGCGTGAGAGCCGCCCGGGCCCGGTGCTCCGAGCTGGAGCGCCTCATCGCCGGCCGCGCCCGCTCGGGAAGCCTCGGCCTCGACGACGCACTCAAGCTATTCGACGAGTTGCTGCCGCACGCCAGGCCCGCCTCGGTCTTCGCCTTCAACCACCTCCTCAACGTTGTTTCTCGCGCCCGGGGCTCCTCCTCCACCTCGGAACTCGTCGTCTCCCGCTTCAACCGGATGACCCGCACCTGTGGCGGCAACAAGGTGCGTCCGGATCTTTGCACGTACAGTATCATCATTGGCTGCTTCTGCCGCCTGGGCCGCCTGGAGCTTGGGTTCGCTGCCTTTGGCCTCGTCCTTAAGACGGGCTGGAGGGTGAATGGCGTAGTGATCAACCAACTGCTCAAAGGCCTCTGCGACATGAAGAGGGTGGATGAGGCCATGGACGTGTTGCTGAGACGGATGCCCGAGTTTGGTTGTACGCCCAATGAATTTTCCTACGCCATACTTCTCAAGGGTTTCTGCAACGAAGGGAGAGTTGAGGAGGCGCTGGAGCTGCTCCACATGATGGCTGATGATGGAGATACAAGCTGCCCACCAGGTGCGGTGTCGTACACCGTCATCATTGGTTTCTGTAGAGACGGTCAAGTGGACAAGGCTTACAGCCTTTTTCTGAAAATGTCAGATCGGGGAATTTCGCCTGATGTTGTGACATACACGACGATAATCGATGGTCTGTGCAAAGCTCGAGCAGTTGACAGGGCTGAGGGTATCCTTCAGCAGATGATCTGTAAAGGTGTTAAGCCAAATACTCAGACATATAATTGTCTAATCCATGGATATTGCTCTATGGGGCAGAGGAAAGAAGCGGTTCGAATGCTCAAAGAAATGTCTGCACATGGTCATGAGCCAAATGTTGTTACTTACAGTTTACTGCTTGACTATCTTTGCAAAAATGGAGAATGCACAGAAGCTAGAATGATTTTTGATTCTATGATTCGGAAGGGCATAAGACCCAATATAATTACCTATGGCATTCTGCTTCGTGGGTATGCTGCCAAAGGAGCTCTTGCTGATATGCAGAACCTCCTAGACTTGATGATTGGAAATGGTATTTCACCTGACCATCACATTTTCAACATAGTGTTCTGTGCATATGCTAAAGGTGGTATGATAGATGAGGCAATGCGTATTTTTAACGGAATGAGTCAGCAAGGACTGAGTCCTGGTGCATTCGACTATGGAGCATTAATAGACTCACTGTGCAAGGTCGGCAGAGTGGACGATGCTATGCTTACATTCAATCAGATGGTAAATGAAGGAGTGACTCCAAACATCGTTGTTCTTAACTCCCTAACTTATGGACTGTGCAGCATTGACAAATGGGAGGAGGCTGAGAAATTACTCTTTGAAATGTTGGATCAAGGAATTCGTCCCGACATAGTATTCTTCAGCACAATAATGTGTAACCTATGTAAAGAAGGACGGATCATGGAAGCCCAAAGTGTTATTCACTTGATGGTACATGTAGGTGTGAGGCCTGATGTTATTTCATATAATATATTAATAGATGGCTACTGCTTAGCTGGTATGATGGATAAAGCCATGAAGTTACTTGATGTTATGGTCTCTGTTGACTTAAAACCTGATGTTTTTTCCTATAATACTTTGCTTCATGGCTATTGTGGAGCTAGCAGGATAGATGATGCATGTAGACTTTTCCGAGAAATGTTGAGCAACAATGTAAGGCCTGGAGCTGTCACTTATAACGTGATACTGCATGGCTTATTTCAGTCCAGGAGATTTTTTGAAGCAAAGGGCTCTATCTCAATATGATCAAAAGTAGAACACAGTGGAACATTTGCACATGTAACATAATTCTAAATGGGCTTTGCAAAAATAATCGTGTTGATGACGCATTCAAAATGTTTCAGAGCTTGTGTTCTAAGGATTTTCAACTTGACATGATTACTTTCAATATTATGATCAATTCTTTGCTCAAAAGTGGCAGAAAGGAAGATGCAATGGATTTGTTCACTGCTATCTCTGCCCATGGTTTAGCTCCAAATATCGTGACATATCGCATAATTATGGAAAACCTTGTAAAAGAAGGGTTGCTAGAAGAGTTTGACAATCTGTTTTCAGCAATGGAAAATAGTGGTTGTGCTCCGAACTCACGCTTGCTAAATGCTCTAGTTAGGAGACTGTTGCGTAGAGGTGACATAAGCAGGGCTGGGGCTTACCTTTCCAAAATTGATGAGAAGAATTTGTCACTTGAGGCTTCCACTATGGCCTTGCTAATATCAATTTTTTCAAGAGAGGAATATCAGCACCATGTGAGGTCCCTGCCTAAAAAGTATCATTTTCTTGAGGAAGTAAAGAAATGAGCATTATTAGTAAAGAAATGAGCATTATTTCAGATGAATTCAATTATCTTCTGTGCCAATACATCTTTTGGTGACATGTAATTTGGCCGGAGTGCTTTGTCTGTTTCATGCTCTAGTTCAGCTTCCTGGTCCTCTTTGTTTGATGAAATCCTCTAGAGAAATGTTATCTTGTTTTTTCAGTTTCGAATTTAGCCCCAGGTAAAGCTATCTTGTTTTCAGTCCTAGTTATGTTATAGCAGAAAATAATTCGCGAATTAATGGCTACCACAGAAGGTTTGCATTTTCTTGCATAATGATGCCCAGGGGTAAAATCAGATCATCTAAACGTCCTGATCCTTCGGTTGGTTAACAGCATTTGCTGCTTGTAATTCCATGCATCTGGTTCAAGAGATTTAGCAGCAAACTCCAAAGTGGATGCGTTACTGATTGTTTGGTACGTAACGATGATACTGGAATACCAAACTCAATACACATTTATCTTCTACAATGCTAAGTACTTAGGTGTTCTGAAAGTATTGATATGTTCGATTCGTTGCTGATATTTTGATATTGGCATCGCTGAGCTCCTGTATAGTGCCAACAGACTGACAGCACGAAGCGATCCTGTATCAATGTGATTGTGACCATCAATCTGGTGCTCAATGTAATTGTGCATTGCAAACTATGAATTTTGCAACAAATTATTCATCATGGCTCTTATCCTGCTTAGTTCTGTTTTCTGTATTGTTTTTCTCCATATAGTTACCAATCCTGCTACCGAGTTTCAGCTAAACATGACAACTTCAATTGACAGTTAATTGACGGACTGAAATGTAAGTCATCAGGCACGCACAAAATGAAACCACGAGCATGGAAGTCGAGCCGTTGAGCAACAATTGTACTCCGTACAGCTTAGAAATTCTTGAATCACATGCACATGCACCTCGTAACTGCAGTGAGCTTCAGTTAAAACCACCCCCACTTTCGCAGCTACATATATATTTACATCATTCGCTGTAGCGACCCTACCTACGTACACCACTGCTAATTCCAATAACCGCTCGATGAGCCATACAAGTTGCCTTCACCACAGAAAGTTATACTACCATTGACCTCTAGCTCAGCTATTCACTAACCTCACCATATGCAAACACAGCACAGCAGGGCGGTATGCAGCTTCCTGCAAACAACACCCATGATCCAAAAATGTGTTTCGCCACTCTGGCATCCTATCCTAATTGGCATGTGAAACAGCAGCTATCATCGACTCATCGCCCAGGATGACTATGAAGCTTGTTCTGTCATGATAGTCAGCTGAAGACATCTCCCTCTTCAGTGTTCGGTGTCCTAGTGCCAGCAAGGGAAGCATTCTGACCCATCTTCTTATGCCTCGTCATGACAAGGGCGTAGAGAAGCTCATTCCAGGTATCAGGGACTCCAGGAAGGCACCAGTGGCTGCAATCCTGTTTGTAGCGGGGCACAGGTCCTGAAGGGCTCAGGTATACTGAGAGGTGACCGTCTTTTCTCTGAGCTGTCATTCTCGTCACATTAAGCAGGTCTAAACCAACCAACTTGGATCCGAGATTGCTCCCTAGAAAATCATCCACAGGTTGAAGCAAGTCAGCCCATTCATCCAGGGACTTCACTGGCATCACGTCTGGAAGAGTTTCTAAGTGACAGCTCCCACCAGTCTTCCAGTCACCACCTCTGCAGACCATATACAGATTGCTCTGGTTAAAGAGGCAATGTAACATATCACTAAAAGCATATCTTACTCATGTACATCCATGGATTTTTCAATAGAGCGAAGAAATAAAGGCATGCACTGTTCAAGGCTTCAATCACTTTTTGCAATAAAATGATTAAGTTCAGAACATATATAAATGATCTCAAACATTGTTAAATAATTATAAAAACAACCAGATGAGGGGAGTGATCACTTGTAAGTGTAAGTAGGTGACTACACAGACCTGAAATGCACAGGAGCATATGTACGGTAGATGACATGAGTCTTGCTTGTGTTAACTTCTTTGTGAAGCCAATCGAACAATGTCTGTATCGACCTTCTGTAAGCATCTGCAACAGTCATGCCCATTTTGACCTCATCGCCTACTTGAAAGTAGGCACCCCTGATAAAAAAGAACAAAACAGCAAGTCAGCAAACCTAGCTTCAAATGGGCATAAGATTCAACTGTGGTAGTGTGGTGATCAGAAAATCGTAACACCATCCCAGCATGCCATATTCTTAGTAATTTCAGGATATAATCTTCTCCAAGAGTATATGCATGAATATGTCATCAGATGATGTGGATAACTAGACATTGAATCTTGTAGGAAACAAAAGTTGAAAGGTGAATCTCTTAGACATGGTGTCACATTTCAACTAATCAAAACAATATTGCAAAAAATCTTGAAAACATAGAGATATTTCTGACATGAGAACTAGCTGAATGCAAAAATCAGTGTGATACAAAGTTATGCTTACCCCCTGATTGTTTTCTCATTGTTCCACCAATGCCCAGTGTTGAAGATCAATACATCAGCATCCTTCCACTTACCCCGGTCAGACATCCAATCCATTGCATCCACCCGAAGAGTGTACCTAACAATCTCAGGGGCTCCTGCTGGTGGACGGCCTTGAAGGACTATAAAAGGGGATCTGTAGTATTCCACAGTGCAATTGTAGTCTCTAAAGTTGAAGATCAAGAAACCCATGTGCTTTGTGATGGGACTCCCATTAACTTCATAGATAGAGCTCTTGTTATGAACAGCACTAGAGAGCATACAAAGTAGAGACTCCCATTGGTTCCTTCCAATTGAATCACCAACAAAAACTACTCTTTTGTTTCGTAGCTTCTCCAGCATGCTTTTGGCATCAAATCTAATAAATCAAAGAAAGAATATGACCAAGTCAGAGAAAAAGAATATCGATTATGCTAGAGTGGTAATGCAGATCTTCCGGATTGTTCTTCAGTTATGAACCACAAGCCCTAGAGAATCAGAGATTGAGGTGATTTACAAGGCCACAAAACCATGAACCTGCTTGTACTAATAAGAAATTGATGATAGGAAACGATTCTTCTGAAAATGCTGTAAATTGCCCACCAAGATTACTGTAGTTCCACTTTAAATTCTCTATCACAGTCAGTAGGTATAATCTTTCAGTTTCAGAACATCCTAAACATGCAAAACAATCCAACTAAATGTCACAATCAGCAGTACACACTGAAGGCATGCTCATGCCCAATTAAGGGTGGCAGATGCAAAAAAGTGGTATTATCCATTGCGAGTTAGCTATTCCTGGAGACAGATGAGTCAACATCTCTAGTACCGTTGGTAGCACCATGCAACAAACACCATCAATACTTATTGTTAGCTTGTGAATATAGTGCAGTTGTGAAGGTGGCATTAGATTTTGGGTTCATTTCAGAACCAAGGTACATAAGCAACAAACTGTTGTGCCAACAAAGGCAACTGAACATAATCACAAGCCCAGTGCTTTATACGGAACAATGATGGGTCAAGAAATAGCATGAAGAGACCACCCTCCAACCACGGGTTGCGAGATGGAAACAGCATGACACGCTGCATTATATTTCTTCCCACATTCCTAGGACTAACCATATTTGTTAGACCGAGTGGCAGGCAAAGGGCATCGGGTTTCCAATCTTACTAGGTAGTCCCAAGGTGAGGTGATGGTCTAGTTCGTCGTATATTAAATATACTCCAATGATCTAATTTAAGTTTCGCAGCGCGCATCGACTGACCCACATAACCACATCTCATCATCTCCTCTCATTAAAAAGTAGAGTGTCCTTGTCTAGTTTTTTTTTCTTAGAAGTTGAAAGAGAGTGACCTTGTGGCCTTGTCTACGATTTTTTTTCTTAGACGTTGAAAGTCTGAAGTAGCAGTGTCAAATTTAGACTAGTTCAAGATTGAACAAACACTGCACGGACGTTGAAAGTCTGAAGTAGCAGCACCAAATTTAGACTGGTTCAAGATTCAACAAAATCAAAAAAAAATGCACGGAGATAGTAGTATGCCCACGCACGCTTCTTCCGCTCTGACAAGCTTAGCAAACCAATCTCCGGATCCTGGAGATGGCGGACATGGAACGACTGAAGCAAGGAAGAAGAAGATAGCAGCAGATCGAAGCAACGCAACGAACCTGGGCAGATGTCAGCGCGACGGCTGCCAGCGCCACTTGGTGTAGGACGCGTCGGGGCGGCCGTTCTCGGCGCAGCGGAAGCCGACGTGGAGCTGCTAGTGGAGTGGCTCGTGGAGCTGCACAAAACGCCGAATCTAATCTAGCATGTCACGTTAAATATTACAGTGGTTTTTTTTAGAACGTGTAACCAGGTATCCAAAATATAATTAAATCGTGTGCGTATTTTAGAATCTACTCCCTCCATTCCAAATTATAAGACGTTTGACTTTTTTGACCCCAAGTTTGACCACTCGTCTTATTTAAAAAATTTGTACAAATATAGTCAAATTTAAGTCATTCTTGAAGAATTTTTATTAATAAACCAAACAACGACGAAAGAAGTGATATTTTACATAAATTTTTTAATAAGACGAGTGGTCAAATTTGATATCAAAAAAGTCAAACATCTTACAATTTAGAATGGATTGAGTATTTGACAAGTAGTTAATCTAGTCACATGAAAAGCTCCTTTTAGTGGCTGGTTGGTTATAAAACGTACTTGATAACCAACGATTCAAAACGGAAACTAATTAACAGGGCGGTGCTGTTGCTAGTCTCGCGTATATATTTGCATTGCATTTCTTTGGCTGGTGTAACTTGTCGTTGGTTGCTTGTGACACCACGCCAAGTTTGGAATGACGGCGTCGATTTGTAAGTTAGTTAGTTAGTTACAGGAGTTCTTTTGCTTTGGGAGGCAAGGAACGAATGATGTGTGTCAACCAACTGTCCAGATTGTACCGTAACAAGGAAACGGTACGGAAAAGCAAGCAAGCAAGGAATGATGATAAGCAAGGCGGTGGAGGTTTTGTGCTCAGTAGTATTCGGTTTTAAGAACAAAATCAGATGCATATCATATGTGAGCCCAGTAAGTCAAATCTCACGTATAGCTACAAATAAGGGTAATATCAATAGACAATGTTCAATATATAACGTACTTAGTATAGTGAATATAACCTTAGATAGCAAACAGCAAAAAGACAACTCCGATCTTCGGGTGAGGACTCCAATTTCCCAGGGACAACTGACTGGTTGATCACAAGTCTAATTCCTCCAAACTCTAGCAATCTGGTATCCAGCCGAGATTTTTATCCAAATAATTGAAAAATAAAACAATCGTAAGTACATGTCGTACTCAATAAATATAACATAGGGTTCATGAGGCTAAAAAGGCTGACACTGGTTTAACTGCGGTTAGCTTTTAATGAGTCATCTTTTAGCAATTGGGTGGCAACAAGTTCATCACAAGCCCATAAACACATGATCAGGTAAACATGAATAATAAATAGTATAAATAATAATCATTAATGAGCATATTCATCATCAGTATCATCCGTGTTCATCATCATTAACCATTAGTGATCATCTATTCCGCAAGGGTTCTAAGGCCGCTCGTGACCGTGAGCACGGCTGATATACCAGTTTTACACTTTGCAGAGGTTGCACACTTTCACCATGAGTCGTGATTTACCCTTTCGCCCGAGGCGGCCAACCTCTTGACCCACTACCAAGGAAGGTCGGCAGGATTCACTACGAAGCTTTTCCCCAGTCGTTCTAATAAGGAGCAGCCGCTAAGGATTTCATCTCCCAGGTATTATGGAGTCATCTCCAAAGGTGGCACTTATACACGCAGCATAGTACACACCCTGGGGATGAGGCCCATACCCAGCCTGGTATGCCCCTCTTGCCCTTTCGGTAAACTGCTACAAACTAGAAAGAGCAAGGTACTAGACTAAGACCAGAGTCATGTAGTCCTCATGGTTGTACTGTAAGTCCCGGATGATCACTTACACATAATTCCTTAAGTAGAGGAATCTGAAGTATTTAGAAAGTAGCTAAACACTTCAGACCCCTGTTTCCAAGTTGCTAAAAAGTCATATTTTAATGTTTATTGCATATACCGTTAGTCAAGTTACAAGATCATGGTTGTAGTTGAGCACTAGCAAAACTACCCAATGCAATACCCATAGGTATCAAGGCACAAGTACAAAAGACAAGGATATCCTTAGTGGTAGTCAAGGTAGACACATGTAGTATGAATTAAATGATTAAAAGTGAATAGAACAACAAGGATGATCCCATGCTATACTTGCCTTAAAACACCGATCCTTCGGTAAGCTTTAATCTTCAACGTTCTTCTTCTTCTTGATCACCACGTATATCTCACCGACTGGACGTAATTCATAAAGTACCACACAAGCATCCATACAATCATACACGAAGCAAACAATGGATCTAAATTATAACAGTACATCAAACATAAAATCAAGATAAAAAGTTTGTAAAACGAATCTACGTTTCAGTACGAACACACAGACGTGAAAAACACGCTAATCGAAGCTTCGGTGAAAAAGATACATCTACCGATAGATCTGGTTTATAAGCGGAAAAGAAAACTATATGCTTCATTTATAAAAGCTTATATAAATTGAATTAAGTCAAATTTAGATTCGAATTATAAAACTAAAACATATTATATTTTATTTATAAAGTCCAGTTGCATAATTATTAATCAAGATATGTTTTAAACCATAAAATTCTATAAATAGTGACATGGTAACCACTGTTACTAACGCGTAGATCTCGTTGCTATGAATCTAACACAACTTGAATGGACTAAGACAGAGTTAAAACGTAGAAGATATGAAATAAACAAGATTTCCTTTATTAAAATAATAGATTAAATCTAACCTAGAATTTTAAAAGTTGAAATTATACTTAACAGTAGTATGAACATGTAGATTATGAAATTACGAACCTAACGCAAGTTAAACGGGTCAAATCGGAGTTAAACGGAGAAGTTATGGCTAAAACAAAATCAGTGGCAAATCTATAAATAAGTGAAAACGTATTTTTGAAGTAAACCGAGAAAAATACTCTTTTTAAAAGAACAAGGCGTAATCTGCGGATTGCGCAATGGACCGCGGGTTTGAAAAAAGAGAACTGGAGGGGATCTTTTGCAAATCTAGCAGCGAAGGGGTATGAGGAGATCTGGACCGTTAGATTAGAGAGGAGCGGCTCAGATTGGATCGGCGGGGAGGGAGAGAGAGAGAGAGAGAGAGAGAGAGAGAGAGCTGGCCGCCGATGTTGACAGGGACGGCGGCGGCGCCATGGTCGGTAAAGGAAGCTCGGCGGCGAAGCAAGAAAACGGCCTTAGAGGCCACGATTTTCGACGGGGAAGCCACGGGAGGAGAGAGCAGCGAGGAGAACTTACCAAGGGGATTTTCGGCAGCGCGGAGCAAGTGGAGGCGGAGCTGCTTGCTTGGTGGGTGGTGGTGTGACAATGACGCGCTAGGTGGGTGGCTTACTGCCATGAAGAAGCGATGCGCGGTTGGAGCGGGATAGGGAGGCGGCGTGCACGGGCTCGCTATTTAAGAGGCAGGATGAACTTGGGGCGCAAGGCAACGGCGCGGGGCGGGGCGGCGTGGGACTCCCGGGCGGCGGCAACGGTGTCCGTGTGAGATACGTGCTGGAGAAGAGGGACGGAGCTGACAGGCGGGCCCGGGCTGTCGGCGACAGAGGAAGAGGAGAAGGGAAGCGGCGGCGGCCGCGCTAGGCCGATGCGCAAGAGAAAAGAGCGGGCCTCTGCTAGGTCAAAAGGGAAGAAAGGGAGCTGGGCCGGCGCGCTGGCGTGGACCGAAACCAAGGCGGGGAGGAGAAG